TCACCAGCCCCCAGTCATTGATTACGATTAAATGAGAGGGAGACTTTAAGATGCCGGATTTTTGAGGATGAAAGGGGGTACCCAAAAACGAGAGTTATTCTTTCTGAGCAAGTGGATTCTCGGTAGTGCCCTCTACCACTACTTTTGGCTACTAAACACTCCTCCTACTTAGTTGGCTAAGTAAAGTATATGGAAATCCATTGCAGCTGGCGGAGTGGTTGTTTAATTAAAGCCTCTCCTAACGCTCTTGGCGAATCTGCGTTAGGGAGCAATGCGTCAACATCAAATTCTGTTTCCTGTCCACGGTGGTTTGTTTTTTCGATCTCAAAGGAGTCGTCCTGGTTGGATTCGTTCCTTTATGACATCACAGTAAATCAGCGCTACTATCTGCAAGTGCTGAAGCGATTGCGTGAGGCAGGGAGTAAAACATGGCCTGAATTGTAGCGATCGGGGACTGACTGCCTCATCATGACAACGGGTCTGTCCACACAGCGTTCGAAACCAATTAGGTTTCAATGAAAAAAGTCATGACAATGGCTTCTCACCCTCTTTACTCATATGACCTATTCGCCTGCGACTTTATATTCCCCAGAATGGAGAAAAACCTAAGGAAAAGGCCTTTTCGGAATTTAGGAGTGATTGAGAAAAAATTAGTAGTGGCATTTAACGGCATCGGTTCAGAAGAATGTCAAAAAATGTTTCGAACTGCGGAAAACCCGTTGAGACAAGTGCATATTATCTGATGGGCAGTATTTTGAAGGGGAGTAATGTTTTTATGATATCATCTCAAATAAAAGCTAGAAATAAAATAATTCGACGTTTTATGAGAAACTCACTTGCATAGAATCCCGGAAGTTCGTCAACTCACGGTTAGTTTTCTTGTTGACCGTAGAGTCTTGGGAAACTTATACATTTGTTCCATAGATTTCCTGCATCAAAAGCAGTCGTGACACAAAATTCTCTGGTGTGGATGGCGAAGCCATCATTTCCTTGCACCTTTATTCAAACTTGTGTGTCAAAACGACCAAAACACCCTCACATTCCTAATTGCAAAAAAAGTTCTACAAAAGTCCACAGTGCATGAACCAGACCCAAATGTCATTGCCCAGCAATAGTAATTGTTGACGTAAACGTAATTTTCGTGAACCAAATTTATTTGAGCAAACGTTTGATATCGATGTGTTCAAACGAGTCGACGGGGCCATGTGGAGCATACGGGTGATAAGTGGGTCCCATTAATGTTTATTTTTTACACAGGTAAGAGTGGGAATATGAGGAATGGCAATGAGGGGCAGTTGGGGTTAGGAGATTTGCATATACATAACCGAACTTTGGCCATGGACAAGTCGGAGCTTGCTTGAAGTTCTTCTATGTGCACAGGACTGGCTTGCGCAACATGATAGCAGTCGTTTCAGGTAAAAGAGGCTGACTCAATGACATAGGGCAGTTCGGTAAGGTCGTATTAACCACGTGTGTCGTGTTAAAATTAATCGTAGGCTAGTCAACTAGTCTGCTGCTGTGGATGGCGTTACTCTCGCTTCCTTGCATCGCTGTACAACTGTGTGCGTGTGCGTCATAGCGGGCGAAACACCCTTAGATTTCAAATCGCAAATAAAGTTTTACAAAAGTCCACAGGGCATGCACAAGGCTCTGATTGCAGCCGCTTCTGCTACTGCTAACAGGCGCAGGCCCAGTAGTTGACGGTTGTCCAATGGGACCTTATAGGTCACACGAAAGGCTTCGCTGGGGTCCTCACGATGTTCGGATCCCGACGGGTCTTTAATAAAAAATTATCTATCTATCTAACATGCGCGCGAATGGCACTGCTCATGCCCCTAGTTTCGCCTTTTCCCATCCAAGCCGGAAGGTGTTCTCGTATTCTTTTGGGCAGGCGTCGAATCGTGCGATCAATATAACCTGATCCGAAGGAGTAAGTGAAGGAGTAGATGCACACTGAGGTGGTCTGAGGTGGCAACTTACTTAATAACTTACTTACTTATTACTTGCTTATAAACTGCCAAAACGTGTTTTTTGGCAAGAAGTCAAGTGTTTATTTGCAATATCTAGTTGTGCAAGCACGTTTATATAAATTATGTCGGCCTCTTTCATCTTGAGCACATTTCTGTTTATACATCCTCCATTTGTGACCATGTCCCTAAATTCCTCCAGTCGACGACAACAGTAGCGCAATTTCTAGAGTGGTTTTAGGCATCTCCATGTTACAGTTCGAATAGACTGATTTTTCTTTTTGTTTCAGAGAGGTTAAAAAGAGGAAGAGAGGAGGTTCAAGAGGCAACTTGCCTTGCACAGATTTTTGGTTGAATTATTCACATTCAAGGCCTTTAACATAAGAAACGAAGTTCGTACATCGCCGTTAAAGCCTGTGCAAAAAGCGCATCAAGCAACAAAGCTGAAATTAGCGGGAAGTTCAGTAAGAACCGTCACTCATAAAAAGCAAGATGCATAAAAAATATGGTTCAGAGGTTTGTAGAAAATATCTATCATTACGGTGCGTTGGTCAGCAGCGTTGGGCTTGTGCTCAAGAAGCAAAGGGGAGCCTTTGAAATATTCTTTTTCAGGAAAAAATTTTAACAAAGCCTCCGTTGCGAACTTGTCGAGTTTATAAAGCCTTGCGGGCTCTAATCGATCGGCAAGTGGTCTTTGTGTACTTATACAACGTCAACAGAACCATACCCTAACAATGCAGCGTTGATCAACTGTGAACGTAAGCGGATACTTCGTGACAGAACACATGAATGGGCTTAGTTATGGGGAGCGAGTATGCTCTGTTGATGACGGTATGGAGGTAGAAATGGGAGAGCCAAAGGGAAAAAAACCGTGAAGATAACCAGGGTGACAGCGAGTGAATAACATGCATGGGCGACATCTGCACAAGTAAGGAGTGCAAAGCATAGTGATCTTTTCCAAGTTCCTGCGGATTTCTACACTCTGTTGCTTTAGAGCTTGTGCAATTTACGAGACCTGTCGATTCTGAGAGAAGATGAGCCTCTAAAGTTATCTGCTTTCAAAGACTCGCAGTGAGGAATTTCCGAACTAAAAATGAGGGCCTGCAATTACGGGGAAGGCACCTATTCTGGGCGGGAGAGTAGATGACGCACCGAAGTTAACCGCAACAAAAGGGTTAACCACATCGGGAGTTAGTTATTTCTGTTAGCCACAGAGATGTACACATTCCTGCGCCTGACTATGTTGGTCTGCAGTCAGTCAATGCGAGTCCATGCGTGTTGCCTTTATGATAAGGTCTACAATGCACGTAACGGAGGCACTCGGCTGACAGTTATATTCGGCTATGCCGCCGCAAAGCCGATGAACTGAGTCAAGTGTGGTACATGGATTCAATTGACAGTGATTGTTAAAAAGGCAAAAACTAATGCGAGTCAGCGGTTGCGCTTGTGACTATGGGGGCAGAGTGACATAAGTTCATATGCTATGTTAAATGCTAGCAGCTGCAAATCTAAAAGAAATTCAAGTTCCTGTGATTACCTCTGGAGGGTAGAGCCAGTATATATTAGACATATCCTTCGTTACGGACAGAATCATTGCAAAGTCACCAGCAAGAAGTTGCCCCTAAATTAGTTTTAGCTTTTTGCCTCTTCAATGGACTCTGTACCCATGGACTACGTTGAGGGGATTGAGCAATCAGGTTCTGAGGCGGCGGCATAGAATGTCCGCACGCTCCACCTAGTGTAGTTGTATAAAGTACTCATGTAGTATTCCTGGTATTGACGCTTCATATTTTCTCCCCATATACGGTAAAAATACGATATAGAATGTGTATAAATGTACCTTCAAAATCCAGTCTGCTTCGAGAAATACCATTAGGCGACTAGACCTAACTGATCTTCAGGTACCTTGACGTTAATCGTTAAATACATAAAGTGGCGTAGGGAACCATAAAAGACTTAAAAGAGGTATTGCATTATGCACCACCACATCCAACACTTCTCAACAAATATAAGCGCCCGAGAACGCACGACGACTATTAGGCTGCACATTTGGCAGATAAGTGCCCTCCATATGACCCATTTAAGCAAAGCCATTTATCTACTCAGCCATCCAGAAACCATTCAAGTAGGCTTAACGGTAAATATTTGAAGGCAATGGTAATTATTTTAGCTCAGAAGACTTATTTAGGCAGTAACGTGCGGGCAGGTATGCGGCATACTGCCTATGAAATATTCATGACGCATGCGTAAAAACCGATAAGGCTAC